TTCCCCCACCCCGAGGGCCAAGCCTTCCTCCCCCCCGAGCCCCACGCCCCACTCCCGAGGGCGCGCCGCCAAGGCCGAATGACGCATCAATGTCAAGCGGGATTGCCGTCTTTCGCGGCCCCAACCTCATCCCCAAGCTCGAGGCATGGGCCTCACCGCCCCCATGACTCGGCCGTCGCCACGAGCATCGACGACAATGGCGACGAGTGGACCCAGATGTTTGTCCCCCGCCGCGCCTTTTGGCAAATCCCTGGCCGTCTCTTCCTCTTCACCCTCCCAGCGCAACCCGGGCTCCTCGTTCCCCCGGCTCCCCCGCTGGCAGCCGGCCCCGGGTCGCCCAACATGGCCGACTCGCGGCCGCACTCGCAGATCTTGACGCCCACGCACTCGCCTTTGCCCTCACTCAGTCGCCTCGAGGCCGACCTGCCAGGCGCGCCCGTGTCGATGAACCTCGGCGGCCTGGTTCCAAGCTTTCCCATCGGGCCCTTCTCGTCCACCTCTCACCTGCCGACCTACTACCCTCCCGCACCCATGACGTACACCATGACGAACGGCACACGCCATCCCCTGCGGCCCAAGCCGCCGCGCATGGGTGAGGTTTTCTACACGCGCTTCGTCCCGAGTCAGGGCCAGTACCTCTCCTTCCGCGTCGCTTCCCTGGCGCCCAAACCTGTCCCGTATCTGGGACCCGTCGGCTCCTCGCCACCCGATCATCCTCACCTGCTGACCCTTTCCGACACGGCTCTCATGCAGCTGTGGCTCACGAATCCTCGCGTCTCTGCGTTTTGGGGCTCATACTCGCCCAACTTTTTAAGCGATGCCCTCTCGTCGCGTCACTCGTTTCCCGTCATTGGAATGTGGGACGGCGTGCCCTTTGGCTACTTTGAGATCTACTGGGTCAAAGAGGACGTGTTGGGCCGGCATCTTGGCGGCGGCGTCTGTGACTGGGATCGTGGACTGCACGTGTTCGTGGGCGAGGAATGGGCACGTGGAAGAGTTCCCGCGTGGTTGTCGAGTCTGATTCACTGGTGTGTCACGGAGGATTACCGGACAATGAGTGTGTGCTTTGAGCCGCGCATCGACAACCAGAGGTATGTCTCGTCTTCATTTCGCTGGCCAAACAGGCGACTAATGTGTCGTCCTAGGTTTATTCAGCTGCTCCAGCAGTCACACTTTGCAAAAGAGCGGGAAGTTGCCCTACCGCACAAGCAATCCGTGTACATGCGTCTCGGCAGAGAGGCATGGGAGGGCCCTGCATTATGATTTAAAAAGATGTTGCGTATTTGCGCTAAATCCTCGTACTCGAGTATTGGCGACGTGAAAAGCCCGGTACGTAGTGGATGAAATGCGCTTTTGGAACAAATGGGATTGAGGGGGGAGACTGGCCTGGCACCACCTCGAGGTTCAGGGCAAATACCAGTCCGAGCGCTTCCTTTCCCCAGACTGGCTGGGCCAGCGGGCGGCGGGCGGCGTCTATGCCAAGAAGCGGAAGCAAGCGGAACGAGCCCCTAGCTGACCGATTGACATGGACACGCAATGGCCCTCAGATCAACAAGTGACGATCACTCAGAATGCCCTACACAAGGCAATCTCTGCGCTCCAGCGCTTTCATTACTCAAGCTTTCGTGCCTCGAGGCTGTGCAGTAGGTTGCGCGGTGCAATGTCTCTGTCAACTGGCATGTCGGACACGACTAGCAGGAGACGGATAAAGTCAAAATGGTCACACAGAACTCCTGCTACACCAGGCACTCGGGTCGAAGCGGCACGCCCGTACGTCTTCGCAGATTCCGTCTCCGGATAGCAGGCCGACGGAGGGGGGTGTTCCCGGACGTGAGCGCAGGGATCATGACCTAATTTTCATCGCTCTTCCGCCCTCTTGGGCAGTCGCATCTGGGTCTTGGTTCGTTGCAACGGCGGATACCGGGGTGGCTCTTAAGGTTCGGCTGATCATCAGACTAAGAGGCAAATGCGGTATCGAGCGCGGCTGAGACCATCTGTGAGGTCCCCCGGCCCTCAAGCTAGTTGTCTTTGCGCTGGGTTGTCCACTACTTTGGCTCGCAAGTTACAACACTCTCGGCCGGCAACCCCCTCTTGGGTCTTGGGGGGGAATTGTAGATGAAAAAAAAAGTCTCGTACCCGTCCATCGGTGACCTGAGTCGCGCGCACTCACATCGCTGTGATCCTAATGAGTCTAGTCTGGACGACAGCCATTACAAACGAGGGAAGTCGCTCGTACGGGAATCGTTGGCCAGCTCTTGAACCTTCAGGGCTTCATTTGTTCCTCGTGGCAGACGATGCGCCACGTCATTCATTACCTTGAGTAGGACCAGGCACTGATGAACAAGGTACCTGTTTGTCACTCACAATACGAACGTATGTCTTGTAGAGTTTTGCTCAGCTTAAGAGCGGTGAGCAAATGGAATATGCTCTCCAGCCCCAATGCCCACCCCTCTAGGCTCTTCAAGCTCTACCGCAATTGTAATGGTGACAATGAACGAACAGGAGCTAGGCAGGGCTGGGCTAGGCTCCATCTGGGTTTTCCTCTCTCTCCGTGCCTCACCTGGTGATTGGAAATTCCAAAAGAGGTGACCAGTTGCGCGGGTCACTATCACAGCGAGCGCCCATGACTAGCATCCATGTTAATTAGTACCCTCGTCCCTCCCTGAATGTCGCTGAATGTGCGTCGGCCGAAGAACGGACGGTGCCTTTTTTTGGCGCCATTTTCTCATCTCTCAGCATTCATCTTGTGGCATTCGCCCGCCGTTGATGTTTCCACAAGCGTGTCTCCTCTCTGACCAAACCCTCTGGGGCCTCCCTCGCCGAAATCGAGCATCAAGCCTGGAACAGCCCAAAAGCAACGCTTGACGGCGGTTCCACCACTCCGCCGACTCGCGCATGTCCACATACCTACTACATCTTAGGGTCCCCTCCGGCGTAGGTCCCCAAGTTCGCTGGCGCAGAGTTCAGCACTGACTACTACCATCTTGAGCATCTGGTGGCGTCGTGTCTTGCCGAGTCTACCGCCCCCAGCGCCTGGTCCTGGGCTCAGGGCCGTGCTGCTACAGTACCTTTGAGACTGGTTCACGGCCTGCGCAGATCCCAAGGAACAACGGCGCGAACGAAAGCCGTCTACCCTCTCCTCGCTACACAGCAAAAAAAAAGAAGTCGCCCGTCCGTCCTCTCGCCAACCAGAGCAGTCGTCAACCCCGGACTGATCCCCGACCTGTCCCTCCCTTTTCCCGCTTGGGGCGTTTGCTTGTTTCCTGTGGCTGTCAACCCGTCACTTTTTTTTGTTTTCCTACGTATTATCGGCGGAACCTACCACGTCCATCCCGGTCGGCACTCACCTGGGGTCCCCAATTGCCCTTAACAAGGTTGTGTGCCCCCCCCCCCCCCCCCCCGGGGCAGTTTTTCTTAAACCATTCTCCCTCGCCCAAGGAATATAAAAATAAAAGGGGCCTCCTTTTTAAAAACCCATGGGGGGATCTAAAAAAAGATTGGGGCCCCCGTTCCCCCCCCCTTTCCCCTTTGGGGAGGGCTTCGCGCAAATTATGGGGGGCCCCCCACCGGTGCCCGGAGAGCTCCGCCACTTCCCCCCCCTCTCTCAAAGAAAGAATGTGTGTCGCCCCCTTCGACCTCGGGAAAGGGGGGCGCCCGGAGAGAAGAAAACGTTTCCCCCCCACTTTTCGCC